TGCTTCTTCGTAAGATGCTTTGAAGGAATCCGTGTGTCCCCACAAAGCGGATAAATAAAAGAAAGCAGAACGATAATTGCAGCCAGAGCTGCTTCTTAGCGTCAGTATACGGACCGTAGCACCGAGCCATGCATAAAGAAGCTGGGAGCCCAACAAAGTAAAGTCAAAGGCTCCGTTCTCGAAAATCAATTCAAGGATGAAGCGCCGAAATCGAGCAAAAAGCGCTGGCCGCGGACAGTCGAGTATCAATCATGACAAAGCTCCCAGGTGAGGAATGCTAGTCCACCTGCGCGATGCACTGATCGAGCAGTCTACAGTGTCTTCCCGTTCCGCGCAGCCTTGCGTCTGGCAAGATCACCCTCAGCGAGCCACTTGCTAGCCTTAACCAGCTGAACGACGTTGATGAATTGCTTCAGAGCCATGACTGGAGCAGAGACCCCGGTGATAACCCAAGGCCAGAAGCTGTCAATCTTGTTTGCCCGGGCAAGCTCCAAAGCTCCGGCACTCCATGGGCTAGCGAGAGCCGGAGGCGCACTGGGATCTTGAGCTTGAAGAAGGGAGGGCGAGAGGATAGGAGACGAGAAGGAGAGCAGATAAAGACCAATGAAGAAAAGCTCATTGAGGGCACAGCAGATGAAAAGTACAGTCTGCAGTCTCAGTCAGTCATGCCATTCTTCGACTCGTAGACAATTCATCGCACTCACCTTGCTGTGGTAGTATTGGTATAGAATCCAGCTTCTGGTAGCCTCAACATTCTTGTGGCTCTGGCCAGATCCTCCCATGCTAAGGGTGGCGTACATGTGCATATAATGACTGGCGAGGTCCAGAGAAATCAAGCTCTGGAAAATGATCGACCACCGGGGCCATGCGGAGCTGAGGAAGACCAGTAGACAAGCGGTTGTGCAGCGGTCCGTCACCATGTCGAGCACCGCACCAAAGGTGGTGGACTGATTGCAGTATCGCGCTGCATATCCATCTAAAGCATCCAACAAGCATGATACGCTATATAGTAAAGAGCATGTTCGTGGATGGAGGGGCATGTAGTAAAGGGAGGCAATGGTCAAGAAAACTCGGGCATATCCTGGACCGTTGCGGCAGCGGTCAGTGTCTCATTCAGATGAGGGAACCTGCATATCAATTTCTTACCGATGAGGTTCGGAATGAAGAGAAACACATTCTCTCTGGCCTCCACGTCAGGAGAAGGAGATCTGCTCTTTCGCGGGGATTTCCGCGTTGTGCCGTTGCTGGTAGCCGTTACGTCGCTATCCTCTGCTTGAGCAGCCAGGGCTGCTTTTTGTTTTCTCGTTCTGGCGCTCATGATGAAACGTGCGCGACACGCAATATGTTTAATAGAGAAATCGCCCCGGATAGGAAGGGTTGTAGCAGGTAAGGTGTAGAGCAACCGATAAGTATAATAATGGAGGATAAGCTGAAGATAACGAAAACAGTGACGCCGCAGCGGCCGCACAGCGAGGTCTTATCCCAAGTGTTTCAATGGCCAGCGAAATGAGACTTGTGATAAAGCTGCGCTCGGTTGGTACGGATCGAAATCAGGAGGTGAATGATTGTTATTGAACACTAAAATAACCACAATCAATGAGTCTGGCGTCCCAAGGAGGGATAAAAGACAAATCATTAGTTGTGGAGAGCGACAGAGCTTTCCGAGCGAGATTTGTAAAGCACGTACCGACGAGTTCCGCTTTGCTGTGACGCGACCCTCCCCGGATGACAAACAACTTCAAGGGCTTAGGGGAAGTAAGGTGAATTAAATGAGCGTAGGGAAACAGAGATAGGCCAAGTGTCGCGTTGGTTGAACAGCCCTGAATTTCAATCCGATTAGTTGGACGGGCAATCAGGAGACGTCTGGGGAAAGTTGCTTGGTCGTGTGTGTTAATGTTGGCGATAAGGCCGATAAGCAGCGAGGGAAGCTTTCGCAGCGTCGAGTCAAGAGCAAACGGCACTTTGTTTCTACTCGAGACAATTGGCAGGATGAGCGAAGATGATCAGACTGAGGACACAGACGAGATGGCCATAAATCTGCTGGCCATAAGAATAATGTTCGTTGAGCCCCGTGCTCAGCAGAACTTCCGTATCAAGTACTCCGTAATAGGCAGCTGCTTGCGGATTATCTGCATCAGTATCAAAAGCCAGGCCCAAATATTACAGCGCATCTGTATGTTCATTTGATCTATATCCCAGTATCTCAAGTACAGATATCAGTTCAAGCCAACAAAAGAAAGCTCCTTTCGGCCCTCAAGCCCAAGAGAATGTATGTACAGCAGAAATACGGAGGGTGCTTAGCCACCAGCAATTTCTGTGAAGAATTACAAACAAAAAAATATGTACAACTATGTGTATCAGTCACTTGTGCTCATCGCCGTGAACTGCGCGGATCAGTTGCTTCTTGTCGACGCCATTCTCGGGATTCCTTCGTCCCCAGACTTCCAAGTCCTCCTTCCAGTCGACGCTCCCAGCCGCCCAAACGGACAACAAGGCATGTTGCATTGTCCCCTTCTTTCGTCACTTCCGTTGCGAAGTTGACCACGTTTCGAGCGCCTTCGTCGGGCGTCTTTGCTTCTTTGATGATGTCGACAACTTCTTGATCGGTGAGCGTTCCACTAATTCCATCAGTCATGAGGACTAGGAATGAGTATTCTGCTGGACACATCTCGATGCGCCGAATTTCTGGTTCTGCAGACACGCCAATGCGTTTCGATTGGACGTCGCCAAAGGCACGCGTATTGGCCAAACCACTCATGCGCTCCTCGCCAAAGGAATCGGTTACAAACGTGGCGGCATATCGTCTCAACCGATTTGCTTCGATTGGGGAAGAAGGATGATGATTGGAGGTGAGTGGGATGGCCTCGCCCGTTGCAGTAGAACATAACAAAATCCTCGTGTCGCCTACGTGCGAGATCAGTAGGCTTGACTGAGCGGATGGGTGCCAGAACGGAGTGGGAGTCGGAGTCGAGATGAGGGCAACACTGGCCGTGCTACCTCCCTTGAATCGTTTGTAACCGCCAAGCTGCTGTGTGTGCTTTGGCCCGTACAGAATGTCATCCTGATACTGGGGCTTATGGGCCTTGGCCAATTCATCGTCTTCTCTGGCGGCTTGCGCCGAAACGAAATCAAGATCCGCACGCAGAAACGCATACTCTAGAATCTCTTCAATCGTGACACCCCATGCATGGCATTCCCCATTGCGTGACGCGCTCCCGTTTTCTTGAGCGCCGTTTCCACAATACGAGAAGTGGGCTGGCACAAATCGTTTGAAGTAACCTCCAACTAGTCTTCTCCAATTCTGAACTAGAGCTTTCTCCATTTCCGCCATTCTCTTATGATTGCCCCCTTGTATGATGGGCAGATCTCCCCATGGGATTTCAGACTCATTCTTGGGAAAGTGGCCCTCTCGGTCCTTGCTCAGGCTCGACTGGAATTCAGATTCGGCCGCCGTGTTCTGTATATATTCATGTAGCGTGTCTTTCAAGAATGTACTGCATTCTGTCCCTCCATGCCCATCAAATACGCCAAAGTAGAAGACTTGCGGGTCGCCGCTGGCGCTATCTGCACCGCGGCTCTCTTGAGGCGCAGCGGTGCCTGCTCCCACAGCCCGCTTGATAGTCACGGACGCAGGGGGACGCTTCGCAAAGGCAGGAATATCAAGGACACCAGCCTGGTGCGTATCCTCATTCGACACACGAGTCCCACGGGATGTGGCTGCACCGAAGTGGTGTTTCGCACTGCGTAGCGGTATCCGGACGACGGTAGTCTCGCGGTCAACCAGCGCCTGAAAGGACGTCGGCGGATGTGATATCGCACCGGTATGAGGTACAGAAGCGGAGCGAGGAAGTTTATGGTAGGAACTAGATAGTCCTCTGGGATCCGGATGTAGCGACGAAGATGGCAGGTGCGTAACAAAGTAGTCGTGGAATTCTGGCCGCTTGACAGTCCGGGAATTGGCGGACGCCGTCGAATTAGTATTGTGATGACGCTTTGATAATGCAATGGAAGCTTGAGGCAAACATAAGGTCAGTAAGCGCGTCGAACGTTTCACAGGATCATTGCAGACACAGCTCCGAGATCTGTATAGCGGCGTCGGAGATAAGACTTGCGGGAGGGGAAACAGGAGCAAAGCTCGACATACTGTAGTTGGTCAAGGTCCACGTTCGGACAGTGACTCGCCTCGCAGGAGCCCAAATCATGAAGGTGAAGGCATTGAAAGGCAACGGGGGTTTTGAAATATGTTCAGAACTGAGTTATTGACGCCCTCGCAGGTTCATGCTGAAGTGTTCCTTTTCTTGGTGTCGGAGATCAGCGAAGAGAGTGCGGCCCGAGCGTCTCTGCGACGGAGAAATGCAACGGCAGTTTGATCTGGTGATAATGACATTTCACCGCTTGGCAGAGACTGCACAGCGATCTATCCGGTAGATTGCGTCCCTTGTGGTTTTTCTATTTCAAGCTGCATAGTAATAGTGGATTATGGTGATCGAAATACTATGCATCAAGGATGATCGATGTCACATTCTACAGGGGCTACTGCATTCTTTTGATGCTAAGCTCAGGATTCGCCAATCCGAGCCTTCTTTGACTACGGCCAACATGACCTGAGTTTAGGTAGCAATGTGGCTTTGATCCTTAGCGATCCTTTCAGCCGTCCATTGAAAATCATTAACGCCTGATCTCTCTGGTGTCCTATCATACATTAAGTCACAGTTTGTCGTCTCTTTCGCTAATGAGCACATTCGCTCGCGAACAAGAGCGAAGTCAGGAACAGACCAGGATCTGTGAAAAAAGAACGCAAAATCCTCAAAGCAAATCGCCGACCCGAGCGCATCCCAGAGGCGGAATGAGTGCTTGAGAGAATGCAAAGACCCCATCACTCACTCCAAAGCAAGATGTCTCTCGGTATCATACCAGAAGGCGGAAAAGACCAAATGACAAGAGCCGCACGCAGAAGCCTTGAATACAGTCACCCAACCGTCTCGAGCCTCTCAAGGTCACTAGTCTCGAAATATCAACCAATCCGGGAGAAGTGCCGCGCTGTTCTCGGGTCTCAACAGCACCTCACTCTGGAAGACAATCTCGGAGGTCCATGATTCTTCGGAATTTCTGCGAATGAATGTGACGGGAGTGAATCCTAGTTTGACTCTGAAAAGTCTATTCGCGAGATCGTCTGGATCTCTGTCGATTTGGGGGTCCTTGTTGACCATCTCAACCGGGTCAAAGAGCTCATCACACTCCGGGAAATAGTGCACATACTCCAGATGAGTCAGAAGCATTTCGACCAACAGAGTCTGCGCCTTTGCGATAATCTGTGCGATTCTGGTGCGGCCGTCGGTCTGGTACTCAGGCATGTCTGGAACAAGACGTCCAATGTACCGCCACAGCTTCTCCACAAGCCACCGGTGCTTTTCCAAGTAGAATTCTTTGAATCCAGGCCTGCACAGAGTCTCGCAAATGATTTTCACCATGGCATTGAGCACGAGTCTTCGCACGAAAGGATCAAGATCTAAACGGAATGTCTTAGCGGGAGAATCATGGACATGCAGGACTTTTAAGTCCACGTTACTTACCACGAAGTAGGTGGAGTTTCAAGAGTTGATACTCGGCATCCAAAACCATGTCGTATCCCTGTATCACCGTCTCGTTCAGAACCCAGTCAAGCAGCCACTCGTTGATCGCTCTGGCAACCAGGGCCCACCTCGTGTAAGGGCTACTGAGCAGCCGGGGCATCAGGTAACTGTGCGAGACGCGAACGAGGTAGCTCCTGATACGAATGGGCAGCTGATCATCTCTGGCAGGGTCAGGAATATTCGCAAAGATATGCCCGAACATTTCCACTTTCCTCCAGAGCTCTGCAAGCTTGGTTGCAAAGTGCTGTGTCGCCCACTCCAGGCTGTAATTCAGGCCAAACTCGACGGCTGCGATGTCGGGACGGTGGCGTCGGAGCAGCCTTTCAAGATCCTCGTCCGGAGTAAGCCCAGGATTGACGCCGTTGGCGTTCGGCTCGGGACGGCTGCGGGCCTCCTCAGCTGGAGGAAGTTCCTGGCGAAAGGTATGCATCTCCATTTTCTGGCGGTCTGGATGTACCACGGAAGGAGAATGATGAGTGCAGACCAGGAGGATCGCTGAAGAGTCCTTTGTTCTGTGTCCGCAATCGGCTCAGTCAGGGTCAACACTTGGGAGAGTGAGAATTTATCACAATTTATGATTCACCGTGTGCGTGGGATTTAGGCAAAGCTCGGCGCCCTAAGTAAGAGAAATAAACATCGTGCTATTGGATGCCAGCAGTCTCAGATGCGCAGCTGGCGACGTTTTCTATCATGTTTGTGACTGCTTGTCCGGAAAGTTCTAAGGAAGTTATCAAGATGGAATACAAGGTTCTGTGAATGAGGAGTGTTTAATAAGCTGGGATAGTCTTTCTGAATTTATATCACAAGTTTCACATTCAAAACTTGACGCTATTGCCATACTGCCAGAAGATCATATGGTAAATAAGACGACGGGATTGATGTGCAACCTCTGCAGAATCCAAAGGAGGCAGTTTAATGGAGCATGAGCTATCTTCTATATCACCACAAAAACAACAGGCGTTCTTATCTAAATCAAACAAGGTATGTTGATCCTATTTGAAGAGAGTCCTTCATTCTTCAAGGGCGATCTGGGAAACCTTTTGGTCCCAGGTAACATACCTACCCGGTTGACATCCTGAGGTACTACCTTGCGTGGTCGTGTTGCATGTCATCGAGAGTACAATACAACAGTGACATGGCTCACTTCTTAATGGGCTTGAAGGGACCGGTACCCCGAAACATTGCTCTACAGTTTGGTCAGAGTACAAAGAAGTTCCCCATTTGCGCTAAAATAATGCGGAGTTCCTATAAACAAATCATTGCACAACAGCCTTCCGGCTCATATGACAACCACGAAAGCGAGACGTTGGAAGATCGGCACCTACCAGGGCCAGCGTTACCCAAGCACCATGCCGCAGCAGGAAGATCAAATTGCAAAGTTCAAAGGTTTTTTGACCGTCACGAGTTGCGCCTAATACCTGATTAGATGAGATACCTACCATGTCATGCATGTGTGGTAGGTGTTCACGAAGTTGCTCGTGCACTAAATTGCTTTTGTGCGGGAGAACAAACTGCTGTACACGGCATCGACGACAGGCTGAGCGGTGATCTGTCGACCGCCAAAGAATCGACCGTTGAGACCCTTAATGGCGTTCTCGCCGCCTTGGACTCGGTCGAACTTGAGGTAGATATCGCCTTGAGAGTTGGGATCTAGTGCAATGTGAACAACATGGCCATATTTGTCTTCGCACTCAGCGCGGACGTCATCCTCCAGCTCCTTGATCCAGGCCTCGCCCTCTTCCCTGTACCTTGGTTAGTGAATGCGAACTATGAAATATACAGATAACTTACTCCGCAGGGTCAAACATGTTACGAAGCAAAACGCATCGACTTGCCATGTTGACATTGACAGGCAACGGCTTGGTTTCTGTCTTGGGTCGGAGCACCTTCTGCTTATCATCGGCAGCAGGTTCGGCAGGTTCATCTGTTCTTGCAAGTTTCCTCATCAATGCGTCCCTACTATAGTTGTTGAAGTTCACACCGGCAACGTCTGTATCATCCAGAGCACTAGCGCCGGCTCCCTTTTCAGAATCGCGGCCACCGGCACGATCGAAGTTACTGGTACCGCCAGCCTGGATACCACGTCCTCCTTGGCCGGAGAACGAAGAGCCCTGGAAATTTTGTTGGTTTGCACCATGGCCCTGCGAGCGTTGCGCTGACGAGTCAGGGGTGAACTTATCGTTGCCAAGGCCAACGCGGATTGCGCGACCAGCAAGGTCAAAGCCATTCATCTTTTCCAATGCGTCTCGGGCTTGGTTGGGATCACGGAACCTACAGAAACATTTGTCAGTCAAAGCAGGGCAAGCGCGAAGACAGGCAAGTTCGTCACTTACTGCACAAAGCCGTAACCCTTGCTTCTACCTGCTTCGTCCTTTTGCAGCTGAACAAATTCGAGTTCACCGAACGGTTCAAAGACATTCTGGAGGTCATTTTCAGTGATACTGAAATGGATATTACCCACGTATAACCTGTGAAATGGTGCAGCGTGATTATGTCCACTGCTGGCCTCTGGATTACGGGCCTGGCGGTTCTTCTCCGCTTCCGTCAATTGTGCGATGATTGGGATTCCTAGAAGCTTCTGTCCGGTGAGCTGAATAGCGGGCGCGACGGATTCTTCGCTTTTGAACTCGACATAACCAACACTATTAAGCCGTTAGTCGACAGGCTCGTTCCAAGAAGAGGACCAAGCTTACCCTTTAGACCTTCCACTCACACGATCCTTGACTATCTGAGCTTCTTTAACGGGTCCAACCTTTTCGAAAAAAGCGATCAGTTCCTTCGTTCTTAGCCGTGCCGCAAGCTGCTGAACGAAAATGGTACGCCTGTCACGTTCATCCTCATTGAGCTCTGGGGACTTCTCCCGGCTTGGGCTGCGCTTGCGTTCACGGCGGGAGCGTCGCTCATCTTCCCGGTCTTCTCGATGAGAGCGACCCGAGGGGCGGTAGTAGCGGTCATCATAGGGGGAGCGAGATCGAGTGCGAGCCCGTCCACCTCCGCGGTAAAAGTCACCAGAGGAGCGGTAGTCATCGCCGTAGCGATCACGACGAGACCGACGGCGTTCACTTTCACGGCTTCTGCTCCTCTTTCTGCTTCTATGGCTTCCGTTAGCACTGCCGTGTTCGCTTTTCGGACTCTTCATGTCTTCGTCTCCATCAGCATCTCGTTCTCGGCGTCGTTCTCGGCTCCGGTCGCGCCGTCTGCGATCCCGATCCCGCGAGCGATCCCGATCACGGCGTTCACTGCTATCGGCCTTTGAGCGGTCATCGCGGTCCTGAGACTGTGCGGAGTCTTGCGGGGTTGGTGCGGCTGTCGATTCGAGGAGAGCTTCAACGTCGAGACCTGACATTGTGATGATGTGATAGGTAACACTATTGTGTCTGACGAGTTTGGAATAGGAAAGAAAGAGAAAGGAGATGGCACGGAAGCACTTTGGTCACTTGGGCTTCGTTAGAAAGTGACAAGTTATCAAGCTTGACTTGAGCGAACCCTTCTATTTGTACTATCGGATTCCTTAAAGCTTGCAACTAGAACGTTAAAGCCGGGCTAGATGATCACTTGATTGAAGTGTGTCGCAGATTGCGCTGTTGATAAGCCGGTGGTGAGATGTCCATGGGATGTCTCAAATGTGAAAGCCGCGGATGGTCACATGATCCTTGGCATTTGCCTCCTATTCTAAAATTTTAACCCTGATCAGTGAGGTGCCTCAGGCCAACTCTCACAAGATCGGACACCCAGTACTTCATGATGAACACAGAAAAGACTCGAATTATCCATGTATTAATAGCTAATCATATACAGTCGTTGAACAACAGTCCTAGAGCCGACTCAGGCACGAAAGTCACAATCACTAGAGACTGAAAGTACATAATCCTTTCATCCTTTGTCTAAGGAACAACAGCAGGAACCAAAAGAGCTGTCGTGTTCAGCGAGAATTGGATATTGGAACCGCAGTCGGTTAAAATTAGTCGTAAGGTTAAGATATGAGCAGAGAAAGAAATTCGTCGCAGTGTGAGGCGAAGACTAGAAATCCCAAGCCGTCTTCATCACTGAGCTTTCGCGCCCTTGGGTGGTGGGGTTTGAAGCTCAGTGCCGAAAACTCGATCCCAGAAGCGACTTGTGACACCGAAGCCATTTTCATAGTCGGCAAAGTGGTGCTCAAGGTGGTACTTCTTGAGTGCCTTATAATAGGCGGGTAAGCTAGAAGAGGCAACTGCATTAGACATGTGGACTGATAACAAGAAGGGAGCGAAAAAACTCACTTGCGGTGGTGGAGGAAGTAATGTGTCGTATCATAACAGATATATCCAAATATGCCACCACAGTAAACTGTGACCGCAGCATACCAGTTATAAAAGAAAACTGTATGAGCCAGTTTCCAGAAGGGCGTAGCCAGAACCACGAATAAAGCTGGTGGCATCACAAGCCGGTATTTATCCATTGGCAAATAATGGTGGATTCCGTGAAGAAGGAAATGGAGGGTGATACCGACTCGGTTATCAGGAAGATATCTGATGAAGGCCAAATTGTCAGGTGAAGGTAGAAGGGCAGGCATGAAGAGAGTACGTACCCGTCAATGTGAAACAGGAATCTGTGCATGAGATATTCGATCAAGGTCCAAAGAAAAAGACCGAACAGCCAGTAGCAAGCTGCTGCAGGGACATTTCCCAGTCCAGCAAATCCAACAAAAGTTCCGTAGGTGACTGGAGGAAGCCAGAGCAGAGGAACCACATACCACGCAGTCTTGCTTAGAGGCTCCAGGAAGTTTCCAAATAGAGGAGCGGATTCTCCTCCCCTATAGTGGCGTGGCCGGTGGATCTGCTGCAGGTAGAACTCTTTGCTGAAGCCACTATTCCAGAGCTGAAGAAGCAATGGCTTGTTGAGGTCTAGGAACTTGAAAGTTTGATAATCCTTGGTGTAGTCTGTGTCAACGGACAGGTCCTCTTCGCGCGACATGCCTGTCGTAGCATACACTGGCCGCGAATCTTCTTCAGCCCCTTCTGTAGCCGACCCTTTCGTATCTGCTGTCTTTCCGATAGACTTGGTATCGAGAAACCCAACAAGAAGTTCCTCTAGTATTTCGTAAGCCGCCTCAGAATGATTGTGAGAGGCCTCATCCCGCAAGATCTCCCTCACATCTTTACCGGCATATTCGAGGATTAAGTCGCCGCCTCCCGGATGATCATCGAGGAAGGACGTGACATCGTAAACCTTGGAGCCCAAAGTCACATAGCAAGATTTGGCGTGATTGTGAGAATCGACCTCGGCCGGGGTGAATGTTGGCAGAATCTTTCCAGGCATGATCAGAATTTTTGAGGTTATTGAAATACCGCTGCACGCTGCCGACACAGATTCGAGAAGAATGGAAGTCGACTAGACCGACTGCGAGGACAGAATCGCTAAACTCAAGAACCAAACACTTCAGAAGGGATGGCGAGAATGTGAAAATAAATCGCGGAAAAAGGAGTGGCGTGAGCTTCGTAATATCAAGGCTTGCGGGTCCGATCGCTCCGGATCAGTCGGTCGTACAATAATAGTTACTCCGTAGATGGGACCAGACGCTGCGCCAGTTATGACCGCGCTTTTGCAAAGCACCACCGTCTTTCCTTGGATTTTTGCAGTCTTTTGAGAAATCAATCAGAGTGCTGAATTATCATACGCGAATTCGGGAAATGTTGACAAGAGACGAACAGTAGTAGCAATCATGTGGGTGAACATCAATTTGAGATTAGCCGCTATACTATTTTGGGACAATATGACCCCTGACCCACTTCGACCTGGTTCCTTATTCTTAAGGCTTCCCACGCCCTTCAAGGCCTCAACTTGTTCTCACGCAGACATTGAAGGTTATGAGCTCTTCGTGATATCCATTTTCTCGCTGAACCTTGAGCTCATATGAGAAACAGGTTGTCTAAGTACGAACAACCATTATCTTGTCTTTTCATACGACTGCCGATCAGCGAACCTTGCCTAGTGAAGGGACATACACCATACACATATTGCAAGGTACGGGCAGTCTGGAATAACCGAATTTAAGCTTCTCTGCCGAGTCAACAATAATTGCACCATGAAGTTCCAGTTGACCTTTCCAAGCTAACCTTGAGAACGATGTGTAGTAATAATAATATGGAAGATTTCAGCAACTGATGGCAGAAACCCTCCACCCCATAACTCTTTCCGCTTTCCAGTGTCTGACTGACATATTTCCCCAGCAGACTATATACGGGATTAGAATATGCTTGAGAGTAGGGACTTACGAAAGATCTGAACAGTATTCATGCAGAACAGTTCCCGGGATTCTTGTCCGAGAGATGCTAAGATGTCGAAGCTATCAGGAGCTATGATGCATTTATGCTGAAGGTTTGGATGTGTCACGTCATGACCACAGCTCCTACATACGAGTCCTCTGTGCGAAATCAAGCCTACCTACACGGTTACACCGTCGGAGAGATCAAAACAAGTGTGTACTTGCCAACACCTAAGGCCGAGGATCAGAATAAGAGCACGGATCTTAGCCACAAAGTGCAGAGCCAGCTCTACCTGCAAAAAGTATGCGCGTCCTTGAACCTCGTAGGATGTGATTCAGGAGCTTTGACGTTGGGTGGATAAAGTTTCAAAGTCCCCGTTGTATGACCTATTCATTGGGACTTTTGTAAGTTGATGTGTCTTATGATCCCGCAAGCCTCAAGTCTGAGTGCTGTACTCCGTTCAATACTCCTTTCGTACGCTGAGTCTGATCGTATTGAAGGCAGTCAAAGCTGCAGTCACGCGGTGCAGGCTATTTCACCGCTATGAGGCAGTGATTCAGCTCCAAAGTTACCTAGAAGCGAAGAGGAGCCGTTGGATGAGCAAGGATCCAATCTGATTATCTCCTATCTTCAGGATTAAAGGTTCACTAACCTCAATTGTCAAGTAGTCCAACTAGTCATGCTTTTTAGCCTCAAAACTAGGTTCAAGACTTCAGCCCCTTTTGTAATTGATAAATCATACGCCGGATAGTTATGTCACTGATATCACTCATTTTTGCCTTATTCTTGCCCCCCTCATTTCAGCATTTATTGGATGAGGTATGTTGCGGGCCACATCCCGTAACGCTGTACTCCGTACCGGAAGAGTATACCTTACATACTTGCGTCGTGCGGCCCCTTGAAACGCACCCGAAAAGTTGGTTCAACGAGACGGATTTCCCCTAACAGGAGACTAGCTAAATAGCTAGTAAGTACGTACCTCATTTTATCCTCAAACAAGCAGGGCGAATAGGGCGTGATCTAATGAATCTGCCTGCAAGGTAAGGTATGGACTATGAAAACCCACTACTTACCATTACTTAGGTAACTACCCAAGTAGTACTCCGTACGGACAGTACCTGTACCTACTTACCTTAGTACCAGCCGTGGCGTCGCCGCGCCTTAGGGTAACGCGGGTTACGGGTAACTTCAGCCCTGCTCTGCTGGTTGGCGAATGGGACGGTGAACTGTAGCGAGGCGATCTTCATCACAGAAAATTGACATGTTGGATGATTGGAGCACACTCAGCACACAGGCGCAGAGGCAGAAAAAAAGAAACGAGCAGTCGACAGTCGCAAATGACATCCTAAGAAAGGGACATGGTGGATCATGACGGAGTCACTTCAGGGATGGTATGGCAGACTTTCTCCGTATATACTCCGTGGGATGGATTCTCTCCAGTCTGAAGCGGAGAAGAGAAGCTCCCACTCCCTCAGCTCATACAAGGTTTGCTTGAGTTTGCCTCTTTTGGGTTTATGCAAGTGTTGTTCGGAGACTTTGAGTTTGTTGACCAGATCGACGAAAAACGAAGTATCGGGTCCTCAATCCAAGAATCGATAGCTAATAAACATTACAGAAGTTCCGCCAGCATATGATCTTGCTGAGCTAACTGTCAGGAAAAGTGGGGATAGATTTTGGCCAACTGTCAATCACTTTGGTCTCGACCAGTTCTTTGTCTAAGCCGCCAGTGACCCGGTATCTATCTAATGATCTAGTATCCATTGGTAGTCTGGCTAGTGATGCGTTAGTAGCTTAGTAGTTAGTACATGTCTAGCTCGTCAAAAGAAATGGAAGCTCCATTTATTATTGACCCTTTTCCAGCTCTCACCTCCCAGATAGTTAAAAGAACAAGGCCCCCCCCATTGTGCCCCTCCTCCTTCCGGCAAAAGAATCACGATTTGTTACGATCAATCAGTGCTCAATATGGAATCACCTACGCAGTTCGAATCCTTCTCTTTTCGGGGCAATCGTATCATTGCCTACCTGCAAACACTAGCCAGGGCCAAGAAAGGTTTACCGCATGGTGTACCAGTCTGCGTCTCTCCTTCACATACCATCACCAGCACCGAGTCTCTGCTTACTCTGGCTTCTTTGGTCGGTCCTCATGTTGCGATCTTACAAGTTCATGCAGACATCATTGACGACTGGTCTGACGAGACAGTCCGCCAATTGACCTTGCTGGCGAAGAGACACGCCTTCTTGATCTGGGAAAGCGGTCGAATCCTCAATGCTACCGTCGACGTTGTTGGCCAGCCGAAAACCGAGACAAGAGAAGTGAGAAATGAGTTGGTGGATTTGATACGGAAGAAGTACACCAAAGGCGTTGTCAAAGCAGCCTCGTGGGCTGGCATTGCGACTGCCTGGGCATCTGGTGTCGCTGTTGGGAACCAGGAAGCTGATATCTTGATCCCAACATTGAAGGCTGCCGCTCGAGAAGCTGTTGCAGACAGTGTGCAAACCATCAGAACAGAGATTACAGCTGTTAATACCCCGACTGAGACCTGGCTGAATGGACATGATGATGCTGAATCAAAGGAAGACACCGATGTTGACCAGCAACATCTGACGCTTGACTACGCTGTGGATGACAGTGGTTTTGGCCTTGCTCTTCGGAAATCCTCGACCATCTCTCTCACTCAGACTATTACTCAACATACGGAAGATTCTACCGAATCGCTCCTGGACTCGACACCTCACCTCATAACGCAGGATGGTATTCCAGAAACAAATCTCCAACATCTGTCCAACGGCGATGATCTGCCACCTCCGCCTCTCCTTGCACGTGGCCTTGTGCTCTGTCTCCCGTCAATGACCGACACATCATTCACGCCTGAATACAGACAGAGCTGTATAGCTGCTGCTCGCGCCAACCCAGATTTCGTGCTGGGGTTCCTGTGCAGTGAGCCGTGGCACCTCATTTCCCAGGGGAATGACATCTTCGACATCAATTCTCTCCAAGAGAACGGATATGAGATAGACACTTCAGATGAAACTCCAGCTCATCTTGCTATATTCTCTGTGATCTCTCACAAGAACGGCATGCTGAATGGCCAAGAAGAAGACGACGATGAGAGTGACGAGGAAATGAGTCCCACGACTCCTGTGGCTCCGGAGTTACCGTCGAGGATCATGAGCCCACTTGCAACAAAGCTGCATGCTATTGTCGGGCAAGCGATCAAACTCCGTGATGCAACAGTCAAGCATGCAGTAAATGGCCTTGCGAGCTCGAATTCACTGAGCGTACCGAGGGTCCTGCATGTTCCCGTGGTATCATTACCTTGATGCTAGCACAAGTGTTATCTTCTTTTTCTCAACCAGGCAGAGCCTTGACTCAGAATTGGGAATTTATTGTTAGACACATATTTTCCAGACTGTTAACGGCCAGAATTTACAGTTTGCAGATGCGGCGTTTGAGGGTTCCAGGGACAGTTTGTGTAATCGTACGAGCGAGAATTTGGGGAATTTGTCCTTACCTGAGTATCGTCTGTTTAATTTGGTGTTTCACGCCCTTCTACCAAAGAGCTTGGTCTTTCTGTCCTTATCACCTGATTGTACGCTAGAATGTGGTGTTCTACACAGTAGAGAGCATCGCATCACGTGACTTCATCGCCTAATGAGGCGAATATTGACAATGACTTCCACCTCAACTTTCCGTCTTGTTCTACATTATCATACTCTTTACATCTCTCTGGGGACACTGTTTCATCAGAGTAATATACATTTAGAGGGGAAACCTTCACAGTGAATTGATCTTTCTCTTATTTTTAGAATGTTCTTCTTCATTTATGCCAGATAGCATGCCACTGCTCTCTGAAAGAACGTCACTCGTCACCGAAACCATGACAAGGCCAGCAATTACCCGGTTGCTCAGATAGGTTCTTTAGAGGGCCCGTAATTCAGATGCGCATCACACTTTCGTTGTATTCGTGCGCTCTACTTTCCTATAGACCCTTTTTGGGTCAAGCATCAGTCGACATACTCCAGTATGAGGGCAGGACATAAACTTCCTGCCTCCTCTGAGACTGGAGATCCAAGCCGGACACTGCCTCCACGTAATGTGGTCGAGTTCGCCGCGGATGCCCGCCAAGTAGCGAGCTCCTCTCCGACGGCGAACGGCCATGAATATGGAGAAATTCGTCCACTGAGTCAAGCTCAGCAATATGCGAAACCCATTGTCAATCATGGAGATGTTATCATTGAATACACAGACCTTGGGTCATCCGTTTCAAGCTCATCTCAAGCTGCTAAGCATCGCTGGCAAGTTGCCAGTCAAGACTTGATGCAAAACAGCCCGTACTTTCGTGCTCTACTCGACCCCAACAAGTTCTCTGAGGGCCGGCAGTTCATGCAGCAAAGGGCTGTCCATGGTCAAAGATCGACGCATGAGGTGAAAGAAGAAGAGCACGATATAGCAGATATCGCCAATGGAGCTTGCTCACAGCATAATCTGCCGACAATTAGCTTACCCAGTGATATTTTCCTATCGAGGCTCGGGGCAGATGCCATTGAGTTGTTCTTGAGAATTCTGTCTTACAGCTCCCTTGAAGATGATCAGGAAGAATTTGACGCCGAGTTGAGGGTTCACCCGACCTCACTTGTTGCCAGATTACTTGAAACAGGCGATGCATTGAATTCTCCGCACGTTGTGAGAGAGGCTTTGCAAAGGTCAAAATATGCTTATGGCAAGGGCAAGATTCCCTTGTCAAAGTTTGATACCCCGCTGCTGAAGATGAACGAGGATCGTATTCGGCAAAGTATATTTATTGCCAGATTTCTGGATGATCCGCATGTGTTCCAAGTTTTAACGCATGCTCTGATTGTTGTGGGGTCTAGGTATTGGGTCAATGGCATGGAGAGTCATGTTCCACGTACTTTTCCCTGGGCATATCTTCCCGATGGTATAGAAGGTAAAGAAATATATCATCCCTTTCGCTTCCTTCGTGGGAATCGACTGGCAAGCCTGAAGAGCCGTACGCTAATACCCATAACAGAAGAACTATACTACAGACGCCAATGCGTTCTGAACACCATCACAGACCTACAAGCCTTTTTCCTCCGCGCCTACGGTGCACTAGACGAACCATATGAACCCAAATCAAGCAATACAACCCCATCAGCAGCACCAACTACAGTCCAACCACGTCAATCTCAATGCCGCTGCGGATTCGGCAACTCCAACGCCTGCGACGCTTTCCATCTAGGCCAGATGATTCGCTTCTTCGCACTACGCACAAAGACCATCTTCATAGGATCAAGTCTGCTAGACCCAGACTTCACCCTCGATCCCGAAAGCGAAGATGACAATGGCCAGGACACCCCCGAACGGCCCCAGCCTCTTTCCACCGCGGCCGTTCCGCCATCCGACATCACGGCGATCATATCGTCCCTGAAACAGTGTCCCGATTATCAACTGGACGCAAATCATACCGGCTGCGGCGTCCGTCGCCGGTTCGTACCGCCTCTCGACTGCATTGAACGCTTCGTGGGGGACGGTCGAGGCTTACTGGGCGTCGATATACGGTCCTGGGATGAGAAGAAGTGGCCACTCGCGTCGGAATCCTGGGCCAATCGGGCTCGCCGTAGGGCATCGGTTGTTGATGTTCGCTTCTCGAAGATTAATGCTGTGCATGCTGCGCCGTCGGGCCTGCTGCGGCCGAGAACCCAGGAAGAAAATGCTCGGTTACTCTTTACCGCGACGAGAAGAAACTGGGAGGCTTGATCGTTGACGGTCTGTGACGCAGGTACAGCAGCGTTCTTGCGCAGATTACTGTCGGCGACGTCATTCCTGACATGACATAATGCCATTAGACCGACCTAGGCTAGAAAGGTCGAATGATTACATGTTGCATCACGTTCATGCTTTGTAAAAATGATGCTGCTTTTGAGAATGGTGCTAATGAGCAATGCTACTGATAGAGAGCAGACTAAAGAAGACATAATTTGCTGGAGTGTATACATAGCTGAGTGATTAAACAAAGGGTGAGAGGCCGCTCCTTTTCAGCCGACGAATGTGTATAACACAGTGCCTTGCGACTATCTCTGTGTATAGTAGCGGTATCACCCTCTAAGAAGATTTGTCACATAATGACTTAATCAATAAAGGTTGCTGAATCTCTGCTCTTTGCATCGAGTCCAGGATCATGCTCTCATATCTCTATCTGTCTATCCGTCTATCCCTCTATCCCTCTATTCATGGCAAAAAGAATGCAACCATGTTGAAGTAATGCAAAAAAACAAAGGAACGGACGATAGAAATGCAATGCAATGAAGTGAGGGTTGTTTGGTCATGCTGTGCCGCTTCCAAGATCGACGATGAGAAGTGCCGAAGTTTGAGGCCATGCACCAGTATATGCGCAAGAAAGATCAAGCTGCTTTTCATGATAATGCTGCTTGTACCGTAATGCGTCTTTCTCTTGTCATCCCCGAATCCTGATTGTTTTCACTGACGAATGCCCCTCGGCCTTTCTTTTCTTTTCTTTTTCTTTTCCTTTCTTGCGCTACTCTTTCCAGAATATCGGGTCACCCCAGAAGCATCCCAAGTCAAAATCGATGTTGTTCCCAGGTGGGAAGAAAGATCCTGTAATCTGACCCGTATCTGCATCGTATGGGAAAAGGTCGTCGAACGTATTGCGACCTGATACTGATTTATCGGTTTTCATGAAGTCGAACGGATCCGATGAGTCCAAATCGAATGGGATCGGTCCAGGTAGAGGGGAGTCTGATTCATTCATAGGTGAGCAAGTAATGGCATCTAGCTCTGTTGCTAGATTGTCAGCACTTGCTCTAGCCACGGCTGTATCTTCTGGATCATCAAGCTGAGCATCGGGTGTAGCGTCGCCAGCGGTATCGCCTGCGGGGGGGAAATCTTCAATATCAACACCAACATGCGGTGCAAGACGCCTGAGGAATCCATCACAGAGTCGCCAGGCTCTTTCCGAGGCCACATCAAAAGTTGACATGGCTGACAGCCATTCCAGGGCTTTTTTGGCCGCTTTCGAGACTATTGACGCTTTATCTGGGACATGTTGAGCACGGAAAGCAAGCTCGAGAAGCAGAACAGTAGCCGCTTGCATCAGATAGTGTAGAATGCACCACCATGGTGATACTTTGTAAAGTAAGGTAGCGTCTGGGCTTTCAGGAAAGAGTGTCAGCATGTGGCAAGCCGACTCGACACACTCAGCTGCGGTCTTGGTACAGAAATCAAAGGTTTTTTCGCCTTGCGAACGGGTTGAGTCCAGGCGGCAAAGGCATGGCCTCGTGATACCAATCTTTGTGCTATAGAATAGAAGAGCAAGGCTCATCCTTTGGCTTGCAGGACACTGTGACGTTTGAGTCGATGTGAAATCGTAAGCACTAGGCAGGTTCATGAACCATGAATCGATTTCAAGCATCAGGCTCTGGATAGTGAATTCTTTGCTTGGCCAGGGAGAATGCATCGCCTCGGGACCATATAGTTTGGCTGTCATCCTCTTGTTGATTGAAGTGAGTGTGGAGAGCTGAAGGAAATATAACGACATGCATGGGGAAAGGTTCTTTAGGTATTCAACCGTGCTTCTCTCTGGAGTTTTGGTGTTAGCCGTTCCGTCGGTTGTTTCAGGATCCAAGGAGGTGCTCAGGTCGGATGCACTTGGGCAGACGGGGGGGATCCGGTCCAGCTGGTTTGAGCTGCCTCTTGATGTATCACCTATCATCCGCACCACCTCTTCTTTCTGGAAATCACACTCATCGAACGGTACCGGTAAGGGAGTGGTACATGAGTTATCCACGATACAGGACGGCCGTCCCGTCATCGCACTGAGCAGATGATCAAGCGTGTACAAAGACCACCAAACACGGTATCTGATCTCCTTGGAGGTATCTGATGTACAGATGCCCACATTCCGTAGATGCAGCCCCAAAGCAAAGGCCCCGCGCATCGCACTCCCAGACAGTTTCCATGCCCTGAGAGGATATGAAAGTTAGAACAGTCGCATTTAGCAGTACCATTGCCTGTCCATGGGTGGGCCGCAAGGACATACCGATTGATGTGGCCCGAGGCCAGTAAATATAAAGATGCCAGTCCTTCAACTTGCAGCTGTTGGAGATCGTGATGATGAAGGAGCTCGTTCTCTAAGCTCAAACTTCTCGCTTTTGAAAAATATATGAGATCATCATCCTCGCCGCCTTTCCACTCCGCATTGGTAATGCGGGCATATTTCGCACCAATGGCGAATATGAGATTCAGAATCGCCAGCCATTTCTTCCCTGGCTTTACTGGGGGTTGGTTGAAGAATACTTGAAATTGTGATACGAACGTCGAGATGCCGATGATCGGAAAAGAAGGATGCACTGAATGTAGATATGCATTGAGAAGCTTAGTAGCAGTGTCTCTTGAAGGAGTATCACTTGCATCGAGCGACTCAATCACTGGTAGATCCAGATCATCGAGATAGAAGTTTGACGAGGCAACTAATGGGTCACTTTGGCCATCAGGTCGAGGGGTCAAGGATGGAGATGGCACGCCATTATCGTCGCCGATATCAGAGGAATTCGGAGGCCAGGATCCACATTCCTGGTTGACTTCTTTACTCAATATTTGTAGCCAAGCAATCACGGAGCTTCTGCCCATATACCCGGTTGCTCGGGCAGTCTCGTCTCTGTTGAAGTCCTCCTTGGTGTGGTCTATAACCTCGTTGGGGTCGACAGAGGATTGACGGGAGGGCGGATCAGACCCAGAGTTCCATGGGGGTTTCTGTTCTCCAGTTGATGTGCCGGGCATGTCTGATGGTACGTTGAGTTCCAGTGGCGTTTCCTGCCCTCGCTTAGCACTTTGAGGTGACTGAGAAGGGCGCACTCATACCACTGCTAGGGCAATGCTCATCAGTCGCTCATCGGAAACACCAAATCGACTACTCAGCTTCCTGATTACGTCTTCGTATGCTTGAACCTTGGCTGACAGGCTTGCTAATTGCCTTTTGAAGGTTATCAAATATGTCTCATTGAGAAAGATGTTGACCTAGAACTCACCTTTTTGACTTTTCCCTTTTACCATCTGTATAGCAGCAGATAATCCCAGCCTCGCGGCAATTCCGGCATCCGGATTTATCCCCTGTACATTTTGTCTTTCTTTGCCTACAAGATTCGCATGCCCGACGTACGTGACGGCGATGAAATCTGCCAGGTGATGTGAACGCAGATTCAGTTCCCTCGGTCAACCTTGGGATAGCCATCTTTCGACTGCCCAGTCTCTCCGCTTCGTTTTCTGGCAGCCGGGGGATTGGATTCTCCTGCATGAAGATATGTCAACCGATAGGTTTCTTAATTGAAGGGGGAAAACTTACCACTTGAGGCAATTGAGGAAAGCCTTCTGCGTCAGTACAAGGCAGCTTGAAGAGAGTTGATTGATCTGTCCAAGGTTGGAACTGCAAGCCGCTCATTGTGATTCGTAAGGATTGATGTGAATGTCTGCGGAGAGAATCACATTTCAGTAGCTGCGCTTTGGTGGCAGTATATTCTGACGAGTACCTGTCATCAATATACTCTGAAGGAAGCTTCGATGGTGGGAGAGCTTCACGCCGAAAGCATTATGTCAGTTTTACCTAACAGAGTCGGGTATGATTCCTCAGTACTGCCAAATATGTAGTAGCAGCGAGTCAAAGTCCTACAAGATTTCTGTTGTCAGTGTGGGTAGATGGCCAGATAACAAGCATAAGTTGTCGTTTGGGAAAGGCATTGATCATGAGCAGCAACAGAAGATCTTATCCAAATCACCTATCCCCCATATTCCGAGAACCGGAATTTAAGTGCGAGGTGGAGAACATCCCCGTACCCTGAAAAGTAGGTTATGTCCCTTATTATGGTTGTTGGAGCCAAATCTGGTGGATCTAGACCAGAGCACGAAGCACAAGTACAAGCACCTTGGAAATCCAATCAACATTTTGCTTGATCCTGTCAGTCTGGACCGCAATGTGGCAACCATAAACTAGAGACAAGAGTCAGATTCGGCATTGCCTCTTACGCCTCATACGATCAACAGTGTGACTTCAAGCTATGCCTTCAGTGGGAGGGAGACCCCATCTGCGCATCACGCATGTTGCCGCTCAGAAGCATCTAGCCTGGTTGTTGCCACTTCCCTTTGCATGTAAGAGTCCATGCATGCAAGTGTATCTGGACCCCTGATGGCCGGGAAGTCTAGAACGTTCGCTGGACCAGCAGTTTGAGCTCCCATCCACTCTCCTGCCCCTGTCCTTCCATGGCCGATAGAGCCAACTCGTTAGTAAGCCGCCTGTAGCATGGCAGATAGCGTTGAATGTTGATCTCTGATCGGCGTTGGCCGAAAAGATTGGCAGCCGACTAATGGTCGAGACGGAGTCTCAACGGGAATTTAACTCTCGCAAAATAAAAGAGAGTGTATCGTTGTTAGACACCGACCATGTCCCAACGAGAAACTAGAGGTGTTTGCGTAGCCGTTGTGTTATGACATTGTCGCCCCCACCGTGCTTGTCAACTTGACGTTGGAGAGTTATTGCGCGATGATTATGAGAAAACGGATCACAAGACCCCTGGTTCCTGTCCTGACGGACTGTCCAATAATGAGCCCTTGTATGTGTGATGACGGTCAACTGTCGGAAGGAATGTGAGGAAAAACCACAGGAAAGTCGAGATATGCAGGAGGGGGTGCACCACAAGGATCGTGCCAGGCAGGACACTGGCTGTCAATTAGAGTGTCCATGTCTCATTTAACACCTTCCGTGGATCAACCATCGCCTATTTGAGCCTGTTGCGCCGGGGCTTGCAGGAGTATGGTTGGACTCGAGAGAATTATAATACTGACGTCTGTCAACGGGAAGCTCAAATGATCAAGCATCGACGACATTCTTCAACTGGACAAGGATTATTGTCAGAGATACGAAAGGTTGCCAGAAGGTATGAATCGAACGCAAATACCTTTCCTGATAAAGCTGATCGTGAAGCAACCAATGGCGTGAAGCAGGCATTATTGACTGGGTAGGTAAGGTACCAAGTAGTGTGGAAGAAGAAGGTACACCATCTTCGGGAACACCCACGGCACACCCTACTCGTTGCAGCCAAGCACCCCCGTGTCATTATGTATGTCAAGAAGGGCTTTGGAAGTCAAAGGAGTAAGCTCCTATTCTACCTGAACCTAATCTCGTTTTCAATTTGCAATGTCATAGTATTGGGATAAATTGGTAAGACGATAAAAAAATGTCTTGATAGAGAACAAAGGAAACCGCGGTGCTTCAAAGGCGATCCGAACGTCATTAGTACTCTATACAATTCGGAATGGATAGTGATTATTCGATAACGTAGCCCTCAGCAATGCTTCTCACATCCTTTGAGAATCCAGTGCTCTCGCCTTCCATCTCCAGTAGGTAGACGTCGGTCACATCTACTTCGACAAAGGGAGTGGCTTTGGAGAAACGCACATTCATCGGGAAGAACTCATTCTCGTCCCCGTCGCCTGCGGATTCAAACTCAAAGCTTCCTGAAGCGTTGGTCTCGTCCACGGTACCTATGTTCCAGTCCAAACTATCACCGGAGACCTCATAGACGGCGTCGAAGCTCGACACCGTAGGCTCTGTTGCACCAAAAGGTATGGAAACGACAACATCTCTCAGGGTATCAGAGCCCGTGAGCTCATACTCGATAGTCACAGTGGTTGAGTCGGGGCCCTTATTCACCCACACTGTGAACGTGATGGGGAGAATATCAGCATTATCAGACCCCGAGCTAGCAACGCGCCAACGAAGGACGCCAATTGAGTTGTTGGCTGGGAATCGCTTGGTTAAGTCCTTCAACTGAATGGCCGAGGAGTTGGTGAAAACGGCTTTGTCAACGTTTGGATGGGTGCGGAATTGTGCGCCATGTGTAGGATTGGCTAGCAGATCCAGCTTGAGTTTTGTGAAAGATGGGTCGGTAATCCGAAGCTGGAGGTCGCCCTTCACCTCGAATGACTTCAGGGCACCTTCGCGGGTAAGTTTGGCAGAAATTGTTTCGGCAATGGTGATATGGATAGGCTCTCTGTCGGCGGATAATGAGGCACGAGCGGATGGGACCTTCTCGCCCGCCGGCGTCGAAATTTGGGGAGTCACCAAGGGACTCGATTCCTCAACTTCGGGGCCCAGATCACCTCGAACTTTCTCGTAAATATCTGTGGTCTTGGATTTCTTGCCAAGTTGCATTCCTTTTCCGCGTGTGGGCAACGGTCTAAGGAAATGAGCTTGATTAGCAATAATCTCCCTCACGCTAATATAAGACTAAGGCGTACTTCGCAAATGACTTCTTCTTCTCTGCTTCATAAGTATCGTATGTTTCGGGAACAGCAGGACGTGATGGAGGAGTGTATACAGGATAGGATGGGGTCCTGGGTGCCATAGAACGGCCACTGCGAGCTGCCTCCTTTCGTTGCATCTCCAGCTGCTTCGCCTTTCTTTTGCGCTCCTCGCTGGCCTCGAGCTCTTTGTTCTGTTCATCACTATCAGCAATCTGCTGCACCCAAAAGCCAATGTGGTATATACTCTTTCAATAATTTCCTGTATTCTCTCCTCGTGACTTTCCATTTCCAGGAATGTCTTGATCTGAGAAAGCGACAGATTCTCCCGGTATCCCAACGTCACGATTTCGTCGAAAGCGCTAAGCAATTCGAAGGCATTGCGAACAATCTCCCGTTCATCCAAGCTCTTGCAGATGCTTGTGGTCACCTGGGCGAAAAGGTGAAGGCTGTCGATGTCTTGAAGGATGTTGGATTGGCGGTTCGTGATGAGGACGATGTATAGCTCGTCAAGAGGCTGGTAAACAAAGCGAACATTGTCCTGTTCAACGGTTGTATGCTGAGTTCCGGAATCAGCGAGCTTCGGAAAGGACGCGAGCAAGGCTTCAATCCTGGAGCGGGCAATCTCCCGGAATTGACGTGAGAGTACTGCCTTGCCCCCGCGGGTGCATATTGATGCTGCGAGAACAACCTATTGGGCACTGCGATCAGCGTAGATTTGGTTAGATGAGAAAAAAGTAAGCTCACCATTATTGCCTAATTGTCAAGGTCGAAACCAATGGTTGCTATGTAGATGAGAAGGCTGCTTGATCCGGAAGTTGTTGTTTGGGGATATCTCCTTCATTGAAGCCGGAGTCGCTTGCTGTTCTCTTCTTCCCCGTTGGTCCGTGCACTGCGCTACCCCCTCGCTTACCGCAGCACAAGAAGCTTCTGCTTGCATCCTTCTATGGAATCCATCATCGTCAATCTCGCTCTTTACCCTTCCTACTTCACTTTGATACAAGCTGGCCATAATAAAGGTTGGGTGGGGCTTTATCTTACATCTTTCTCATCTCGAAAAGAGAAATAGCTCTCTGACGGCTCACTCTGCCTTCTCGCCTCACGGAGTATTTGAGGCGCCACCTTGAAAGTTTTGCGCGTACCAGCATTAGCAACGCGAGACCTCAACATCCTCAAAACACCTATGCCATGACCACTGCATCGTCACTAGCATTTTCCAACATGGAAGTCCCTGGCCTTGATGACACGATGGAGATGGCTTCTCCCTATCAGGGTCATGCGGATGATTTTGACATTGATCTCGATGTCATGGAAGACCACGCCTCAAATGCCGACAAGGACATGACCGCAGCCGACGATTACCCGGATACATTAGAGGAAGTTGATATCGACCAAGATGGAGCGAGGGATGCCGATATGATGGATGACATCGCCGAACCGACTATGGTCGACGCTGACAATCAATATCAGGAGGCCAGTCACAATGTAGAGATGCAATACGGTATAGAAGAGACATATGAGGAAGAAATGCTAGAAGATGAATATGTCGATGACGCCGATGCTGCGGTCTCCGAATATCAGGAAGTCCAGGTGTCTGACAACACAGATAAACCAGACACACAAGAAGCGGAATCAGCTGAAAATCTCGTCACTGGAGACTATAGTCAGGAGCCTGCAGTAGGGACTCATCCTGAAGCAGAATTCGAGCACCATGACGAAACCGGTCATGAGTTGCAGGAAGCACCCGATCAGCACAACGACAACGCCGATCAACCCCTTGACGCGCATCAGCCTGAAAGCGCCGGAGGAGACATCACCAACAGCACTAACGAAACAGATCAAGTAGATTCCCAGTTAAGACCTCTTGATGCCGGAAAGACTGGCCCGAATTCAGATCATCAGGAGGGCGCTGGTGATCATAATGAAGGCGGCGACGAGCACACCGGCCAGATTCCGCAGCCTGTTGAGGAGCATGGTGCAGCAGGAGATGAAGGTACAGAGGAGCAAGCAGCACAGGAACTCAGCCTGCAAGGGCCTGAACAAGGATCCGAGCATGAGCCTGACACGATGGGCCAGGTAACTCTGCATCCTGTCAAGGTCTACTATCAGGACAATGAGATTTCCCTATTTCCTCCACACGAGGGTGATTCTTCGGAGACCTTTTTTCTCGAAGACGAAAGGCTTGCTTACGAACCCCTCGGGAAACTTTTCGAGTCTTGTCGCGAGATACTTTACGAACATGTTGGGGAGAACGAAATTCTGGTGCTAGACATCGAGTCTTTGAATTTACAGCTCATAGAGGTGAGTGTCTCTTACATGAAACCGTTCTGGTAACAAGCGCTAATATTCTGGATATAGGACTCCTCGCATGTCTCGAAGGTGAACTTACACCAGATTATCGATGTTTACCTGCGCCTCTGCCACAATGACGGAATCGATTCCCCAGAGCCGCTATATCTTACTTTGAGTACGAAGTTAACTATTCCAGCGGAAATCTCAGACCTGCTACTAGCTGCAAGCGAAGGAAAGGGGCTGTCTGAGATCAACTTGTGGGATGATTATCAAGAAGTCGATGATGAACTTGGGGAGGGCTCCGAAGCTCATGGCCAAGAAGAAGATCCGGTGTCACCAGGCGACCCAACGAACAATCAGAACATTGATGCTCGCCAATTGCAGGTTGCATCAGATGAAGCTGAGTCTCACCATGATATACAGGACAATAGAGAGGCGCCTCAAGCCCAGGAGCTTGCAGGCGACGACACTTGTTCTTTGGTAAAGCAGAGCTCTAGCGTTGCTCCCGCTACCAATGTCCAAGAGGACGAACTGAATGAAGAGGGAGAGGTCGAAGAAGCCAATGATCCCGAGTTTGACAAGGATACCACCGGCAACGAAGAGCCAGCTCTTGAAGAATCATACGATTCTGAAGAGCAACAGACAGATACAACTGTTACTATGGCTCATCTGCCTGGAGCCGATATGAACGACGAGGAGGAAGACAAAGATGGCTCTGCCAGTCCAGTTCTTAATGACCAGACAGATCGTGGTCTTGAGCGTGAGCGTTCTGAGATCGATGACAGTGACGAGGAGGAAAATCCCGAACGGAAAGATCCTGTGGAGCTTGCAGTCACTGAGGGTTCGGGCGATAGTGATGACGAGAGACCCGACGGTGGTTCCGTTGACCCTGGCGTTGAAGACCATCGCACGGAACACCTGTTGGTGGGCCATGGTTTTTCTTCAATCGACGATGCAGTCGACATTGTTGAAGAACATGGTCACGATCTTGAAGAGAGTTCAAGGGCTGATGACGGCGACTATCTGCACAAGGATTCTGGGTCAGTTCCGAATCCGCAGGTACCAGAGAAACAAGGACGTGATACACCAGATCCTGCAAACGATGCGCTTGGTTACGTAGAAGATCTATTCAAGAGCCCTTCCAAAGATTTGAAGATCAAGGATGGAACTGTCAACGACATTAGTGAATTTGGCAAGGATCATGATGAGTTTGAAGACGATACTCCAGCCGAAATCTCCCACCAGCATGATGAAGAGCTGCCGCTCGATGATGAAGAGTACATCGATTTGGGACTTGCTGATGGTCTCGATACTGTCGACGAAAGGCCGGCGCCTGGCTCGAAATCGCTCGATAACGGAGCTTCGAAACGATCCCGCGAGCCGGAAGACGAGTTTGATCTCGCTGAGAATCCCTCACCCGACCTCAAACGCTCTCGATCTTCGTGATACCCCAGACTGCTCCCATGCTTTTACTTCATTCATTCCCGTCCCCGCCATCCCTGAGCTCATTCAAGAGTTCACATCCCTATCTAACAAACATACTCATATCTAGCGAAACCCGCGGACCGTTCCTCGATGGATGTCGATCGCATATCGGCCGTATACTCTGATATTTCCATCTCAGTCTAGGAATTGCTCGACAATGGAGAATTCGGCAGTCTATCGTAACAAGGTACGTAACACTCTGGTCTTACGCTTCTACTCGAGTATATCCACCTTCTCGAGTGTATTTCGAACTGCATTCTCCTGCTTTGAAGGCAAGCCAGATTTGGCTGCCACATCAGGTTTGTATGTGATATCATTTGTGCGTTTGAAGTGCATATTGTTTCTCGCATTCTGTTTTCGTGGCTTTTGGCATACGAGATGATACCTTCGACTCATGGGTCGCTCTTGGCGTCACCGTGCCTGGGTTCCGCCATTGTGCACACGTCTACAACAGAGGACCTTTATTATTATTATTTTTTTATTTGATAGCATCTAGCATCGGCGTGACTGGTGTGTGGGCGTGATGGTTTACTCCATTTTCGCTATTCTGGACGGTACAAAATGATATGCTTATCCTTTTCATGTTCAATTCCGAATCTCATATATCTGATCATGATTGTCTTGCGCTCGGTTTTCCACAGGCATGGTAGAGATATGCTGGCATCTGATGTAGTTTGCTTAATTTCTTTGCTCATGTTGGTCTTCTCCTGGTCGACAAGGCTGCCGAAAGTAGTCGATCAATGTGCTTTTCCTTACATCTATCGCCTAAGGGGCTTACAAGGGGATGAAATTGATGTCCTTCAAGGTTGCCTGTACGCACTGAACAAGCTCCTCTGTAAGGGAGTTATGGCAATAATGCCTATGAGAAAATCCTAAACACTGTTTGATCAGCAAAGAGCCAAAGACAAAATGAATGAAAATGATTGCAATGATCTCAAAAATGATCATATTCATGGTGATCATAGTTATGCACCTCGGCATTCTGCACATAGGGTTATTCTTAGCACTTTAGCAGCCATGTAATTTCGCTACTTCAGATCCTCAAAAGAAGCCCGTGGGTGAAACGCCGATCCCAAGGGAGACCATGGGAAGGGCTCAACAGGGGGGTGAACGGCCTCTGAAACAGGCTGTTAATTGGATAGATAATAATGGCTTGAATAATGAGCTACTTGGCTGATTTGATTAGTTACAAAATTGAGAAGGGACTGAATGGTATCAATAATAATAATAATGTGAATAATACTGAAAGGACACCGTTGTCCTTTTCTAAATGCTTCAAGGTGTGTTGGCTGTACAAACAGTCTTATATGAGACCTTCGCAATTCTTGATCTATTCAAGCTTATGGAGCTCCTGCACGTTGAGTAGTACCTATGTACTATTATTATGATTTAGTTAGTTTGGTGGAATTGTTCTCCAGCAATGATAATAATACCAGTTTCTAAGGCTGCTTTTTAGCGATGTAGCCATGTTGTGCCATACCAATCACATGGTTCTTATATTGACACTCCATGTAGATAGACACTGCGTGCCATTCTCATCGACTTCGAACAGTTTTATTATCTGATCTTTAGCGAGATTCAATCAATCCTTCTGTACAGTACAATTGTTTTGAAGTTATTTTGCCTCATAACTCAGTTTTGCCTTTCGCCTTGCCTCTTACGCGTCAATCCCAAGCGCAGCCCCCCGGTTCCGTCTTTGGAGGAGAGGGAGGAACCCCACCGCACGAGCGCAGGCACCAGCCTCTATTCCAGGATCTGGAACGCCAAACTTGTATCAATCAAAGCTCTCTCTTTTCGATCGCAGGAGTTCTCGACCATCCACCATCCCCGAATAAGCCTGCAGAAAAGAAATCTTGGGCTGGCTCAATTTTTCTGCTGCCTCTATCCGTTCGTTCGTTGCTCTGCGGCGCGTTGTTCTGTTGGCCCGCGGCTTCGTTGTCTGTCATTGTTGGCGCGCTCTGGATGCTTCTAAGCCTCCCGGTCCTTATTCAACTCTTCTCTGTTGACGTCGATTCACCTGTCGACTTGATCTTTTCTCGAACATTCCCTCGCATTGGGATTCTTACTTGAGGAGGAGCAATCAGCTCCTGCAAATTCGTTAGGATGATTTCAGAGAAGTATGGTTTTACTCTCCGCGCAGCTTGCCGCCACTACCTGTCCCTCAGGCCAGTTCATTGCTAACGGGTTGATCCCTGGGATGCAGATATGTCGGCCTGCTGTTGGCCATTTTGTCAACAATGGCTATCGGTATGTCGTGTCCTCTTATCAAGATCTTTGGCCTCGTATTGACCCATCTTCCAGGTACAAGTTTCGTTATCACAAAGAAGGTTCGTTCGCCTCGCCTGCCGTCCGCAACAGACCGATCTCATTTCCCGATTCGCCCGCCGATGAAAACCACTGCCACATAGAACGATATAGCTGATTGATCGCATCCAGGGGTTAATGCACGCTTCAGAAAGGCATGGATTTGAAGGAGAAGGCTTTTCATATCTCAAAAGTCCGATATGGTGGGGTGGTGTCACTACATGTACGAATGGCCGCGATTGAGTCCCAAAGGGATAGGATGGAGAGCTGACGGAGACCTACAGTGGCCATCGGGGAGGTCGCCAACTTCGCTGCATATGCTTTTGCGCCCGCCATTCTCGTTACTCCGCTCGGTGCGCTTAGTGTGTTGATTGGGTAAGAAACACTGAGGTTGGATTGAGTCCCGGTGCGCCTGGCTGACCTACTATCTCAAAGTGCTGTCCTTGGATCCTATTTTCTGCAAGAAAGACTTGGGGTTTTAGGAAAATTGGGCTGCGCCTTGTGTCTGCTTGGCTCCGTTGTCATCGTTCTGCATGCGCCGCCGGATAAACCAGTCGAGACGGTTGACGAAATCCTCGAGTATGCAATCCAGCCAGGTACGTCCCATGAACAACGTCCTTTCCCTTTCTCTCGACGTCTAGCTAGGTACAGTGGTTGACCTCGTATCTCTATGTTAGGGTTCCTTATCTATTGCCTTGCTGTTGCAATTTTCTCGACGGTCATGATCTACCGAGTGGCGCCAATTTATGGAAAGAAGAACCCCTTGATCTTTATCTCTATCTGCTCAACCGTGGGCTCCGTTTCCGTCATGTCCGTCAAGGCCTTCGGAATCGCTCTGAAACTCACATTCAACGGAAACAACCAATTCACACATGCATCGACATACGTCTTCTTGATCGTCACGGCTTTCTGCATCCTTACACAGATGAACTACTTTAACAAGGCATTGAATCAGTTTTCAACCTCCATGTGAGCTCTTGCGACTCCAATGAAAAAAAGGCCCTGACGCTAATGGTTCTCATCAGTGTCAATCCTCTCTACTACGTCACATTTACAACCGCCACTTTATGCGCCTCATTTATTCTCTTCAAGGGATTCAATACAAGTGATGCTGTCAACACCATCTCGTTGCTCTGCGGATTCCTCACAATTTTCTCCGGCGTATACCTTTTGAACCTTTCCCGGCATGATCCGGACGGACGACATATGCTTAATTCGAAATTGGATGACGAAGGTGTGCCTACGGATGGCATTGCCAGCTTCCAAACCCGGCGATCTATGCAATCGCGCCGTAGCAATGAGCCTCACCGTCGGAGTTCATCTAGCTTTGCTTTCATGAATGGGCATGGGGACCGCGAAGGGCTCATGCATTCTTACGATGTCGAGAATCAGGCTTTTGGTCTGTCAGAGTTGACGGAGGAAAGCGACGGAGAACCGGGGCCGACATATAAACGAAGCGATGATATTGATCGCACCACTCAACACCCCAATAAGCATGACGAGCGATAGTACGTTACGAATCACCATAGTTATCTTCATATCTTCTCTACGGTCTTTGTCTTCTTTACGAACAAAGGACACTTTCGTAACGTTTTCCTTTCACTTGCTTCGGTTTCATTATTTTCACAACTTGATTCGTCCGTTATTTTGCCACGATCGAACTCGGTTTCATTACGGTCGCGGGATGCAACTGTACTTCTACTTTTCTACAAGCACAGGATATACCAGGGTGAGGGTCAAGGCTGCTTATGATTGATTTGGATGTTCTTTGGATACTCGTTTGGATGATTGCACCTTGGCTCGGCCAACAGCCCGCCAGGTCGTGTGCCAAAACAAGATCTGTATATACGCACTTGTGTCGACTTTGGGATAGATTTTGTATCAATGCCTATGGCATTGATTATTTTGAAGAATCCAAACTCACGTACGCAATCATAGCTAGTTTTCATTTACTTGATAGGGGAGCATGACACAATTGGCAGGTCGCTCGAGCGCTGAGTTGCCTATGATGTAAGTCGTCCTCCCGCCGGGCAAGGTGGGTTGGGTTGGGTACGCGCAAGGTCAGCTGTGCAACCGATTAATACCACACGCACAACGTGATTCCTGTCACACAGCTTGGGTTGATGATGTAGACTCTTGTGCATGCTGACATACCTGTGAAACTCAGCTGTACACCTTGAGATACGATATCAAGCGGTGCTCTTCCCTACACACGTCTGGTGTGTTACACTTGCTCCGCATCCCCGCAAAGACTTCTACCCAGCGACATGCCTGGCTTGCTGCGCAAGTTGGTCATTTTCGCGGCTGTGGACGGTCTCATCCTTCAGTCGCTTGGAAATGGAGGGCGTAACAATGGCTGTTACGAGCCGCAGTCTGTCCGGATTGACTACAAGACGAACAAGATTACGTCGCTGTCGGCGCTGGCATCGGATCACGCTGTGAGGAAAGATGACGGACTGGAGGCTTATGGTCTAGTCGGTAAGCTAGTATTTTTGGCTACTATTAGTGATGTTGTCCTCGGTCCCTGCAGTCCTGAATACAGCGTGCTCTGGCAAATACTCGCTTGGGCACCGGCCGCTAACTGACAGTCTTAATCAAGGACTTTTATCCGTTGCATCATACTCGTTTCTCATCTCGATAACGCAACGCCAGCAAGTGGCGCAGATACAAGGCAAACCGATCTACTCCATCACCAATATTGCAATCATTCCACTCTCATCGCAGGCGGATGCCAGTCGGGCAATCTCTCAGGCAAAGGGAAACCTTCTTCAGGGAGAGGCGGGTCAAGGCGAGACCGCTTCAGAAGGCAGCATCTCCGACAATGAGACGGATGGAGGAGAACCCGACATCAACAGTGTGCCAGCATCTCCAACACAGGAGCTCCCTCCCCCTCGAGACCGCAGAGAAAGTATCGCTGAAGATGTGATCGGGAAGCGCGTCCGGTTCGGGCGATTCGCTGCGAGCTGGCTTTCGAGAAAGACACTCGGACTCCCAGGGCTTAGCAATGTGGGCCAGGATACCAGGGAAAGACTTCTCGGGGTTGAAAAGGACGTGGGAACCGAGCTGCAGCCTTCTATCGCGAAATTGGAAAAGACAGCTGTGGCCTCCGATGCGCCAGGCGCTGGCGCAGATTCGCCATTGGAAAATGGAAAGGAACCACTGACTTCCGACCCAACGGTCGAACTGCTGCCGAAGCTGCTGCGATATACGAGACTTATATATTCTTCCGAGAACTTCTTCTTTGCCTACGATTACGATTTAACCAGGTCTTTCGGCGCCCAGGAAGCGCGCAATGATCATCTGCCTATGCATAAAGTAGTTGACGAGTTGGTATGTAAAACCTCTTTCAAACTAAACATATTGAGGCAGCTTAGCTAATCTGGATGTCTAAGTATTTCTGGAATAGAAACTTGATGAATCCTTTCGTCGAAGCCGACGCGCACAGTCTCATCCTGCCTCTTGTGCAAGGTTTCGTCGGTCAGCGAGAGTTCACTGTGGCAGCTAAAACAGAACACCCGGACTCCAAGATCGCAGAGGAGCACACAGAAGGTCGAATGCTCGGGGAGAAAGATGAAACACAGAGCATCAAAGTTGATGCCGAAAAGCGGAATTTCCTATTGACTCTGATTTCGCGACGGTCGGTCAAGCGACCTGGGCTCCGGTATCTTCGCCGCGGCGTGGATGACCAAGGGGACACGGCAAACACCGTTGAAACGGAGCAGATCCTTTCAGTTCCTGATTGGGATCCTGGCCACAATGTCTACTCCTACCTTCAAGTGCGCGGATCGATCCCTCTCTATTTTTCTCAATCGCCATATGCTTTCAAACCGGTTCCGGTGCTTCACCACTCGACGGAGACAAATCAACTTGCGTTTGACAGGCATTTTCGAAACTTAGCTCGCAGGTATGGGAAACTCCAAGCGGTGTCGCTCATTGACAAGCAAGCCGGTGAGCTGAAGCTTGGTAATGAATACGAGAAATACGCTCGGGTGCTGAACGAATCTGGCGGCATTGACGGTGTACCTCTCGGAGTGGAGTGGTTTGACTTTCACAACGAATGCCGCGGAATGAAGTTTGAGAACGTGAGCCGACTTGTGAAACGTTTGGAGCCCATCCTAAACGACCATGGCGATACAATCGTGCAAAATGGTGTCGTCCTTCAAAGCCAGGCGGGCATTATACGCACCAATTGCATGGACTGTTTGGATCGTACCGGTGTTGCACAATGTGCTTTCGGTCAGTGGGCCTTGGAACGCGAACTGAAGCTCGAGGGAATTGACATCGATCTGAGCCGCGACGCCTCTACCCAGTGGTTCAACACCCTTTGGGCAGATAATGGAGATGCGATCTCGAAGCAGTACTCCTCCACGGCAGCTTTGAAGGGAGACTACACACGAACCCGCAAGCGGGACTATCGAGGCGCACTGAACGACCTGGGATTGACGCTGTCTAGATACTACAACAATATTGTCAACGATTACTTCTCACAGGCATGCATTGATTATCTTTTGGGAAATGTGTCGACTCGCGTATTCGCAGAATTCGCCATGGAGATGCAAACTGCCGATCCAGGGATCTCCGTGCAGAAACTGCGCCGGAACGCGATCGATACGAGCTGCAAGATCGTGATCAGCGACCAGTCGGAAGAGTTCCTGGGAGGCTGGACTATGCTCACTCCTCGGCAGCCCAACACCCTACGGGCCTTACCATTCGAGGAAGCGGTCCTGCTCCTGACTGACGCGGCTGTCTACAGCTGCCGCTTTGACTGGAATATTGACAAGGTGACCTCATTCGAGCGCATCGATTTACGCTCGATATCACGTCTGAATTACGGCACATACATTACATCGATCTTGACCGAATCACAAGCGAATGAACAAAGTAATGTTGGTTTGGTAATCGAGTACCGCGAAGGCGGCGAGAACGCCTTGCGCGTCAACACCCGCTCTCTGCAGAGCAATGTAGACACCAAGGCGCTGAACAGCAATGCGCAATCCAGCAGCGAGTGGGGCTTATACTCTTGGTTCCGAGGTGGCATGCAGTCCGCCACGCGATTTATTGCCTTCAAAGCGCTTCCTCTATCCAACTCCGTCGCGCAAAACAACGCCGCAGGGAGCGGCACTGTGAGCGAAACCGATTGGGTGCGGTCTATTTGCGAAGAGATCGAGCGCGCGATGATGGCCGGCGAGGGACCGCGTTCCAGTGAAGAAGGAGAGCCTCCGTCTGTGATTGAGAACTCGAAAATTATCTCACTGGAAGACGCCAAGAAACGTACGGGGATTTTGGAGCATCTGGTTTATGATATCAAGAAGTTGGTCTGGGCCTAAGGTTGGTATTACAAGCAGCTGGTAGTGAGGGCTCCTCGAATAAGCCGAGAAATATGGGTCTATAGGGGACTCGATGATCCTTTGAGTGGTTGATATCTGGAAGCTTTTTCTTGATATATACTGCCGGTGACATATTCAACGCAATATAAGAAGGGAGGAGCACATCTTGCATAGAATATTGCTTTGCATCTTTGTTAGATCCACCTATTTTACACATTGAATAGATACGAATCTTATTAACCTGACTCTGAACATGGCATAGAACAGTGGAAAAGGTTGATATCATCCCAAGCCAAGAGCAAGATGGTTCATGATATGGAACCTCGAGTAAGAATGGTATACAGGTAATACCATTTATCACCAGCGCCCCGGATTTCATACATTTTCGACTCAAAATGCGCTATGAATTCATGGTGTTACCATACAATTCACCGCATGATTACCATTGCTGCTGTACCTTTAGAATTCATATGAAGACTTCCATTGACGAGAGACTTTTTTTGTCATTATAATTTAAGATACAGATATTATCCTGCAATGTCTTCTGTATACTTCCTCTATACTGATGACGACTCGCGTAATTAGCGTTCCTTTGGAATGTTGTGCAGCTGGCCCTACATTCGAGGCTCGTTATCATTATTACCTTGGTATTACGATTTCACCCCTAAAGAACTTTTTGCTGGCAGTCGGGGATCTTTTTCTCAGTCACCAGACGGGTTTTTGGTCTTCTATATGACTTGTTTTATTCATATTTTCTTCATCTCTGCTGTTAATACGATATTCTCCCCACTTGATCTGCGATAGTCTTACATTCATATATTTCTTCTTTCCTCAGAGGGGGCGAAGAATCGAACGGGTTGGAGACCGCTTACCCCCCAAGTATCTAGTCGACGGCGGGGTTTCCTGTGCTACACTACTACCAACTAACCTCTCCCTCTTCCTCCCACATACTCTTCCTCTCAGGGCAATTTTGCCTTTCGTATCCGACGTTGCGTGTTTTTTTTTTCCTTTTTTTTTTTTTTTTTTCCCTTCTCATATTGTTCGGCACAATGGAATGGCAACCTCAGGATGAGCCATTGAGGCAGCTGGCCGGCTGTCTCAGGGATTCATTAATTCCTCACAATCGCACAGCACAAAAGCAGGCCGAACAGGTAGGCTTTACCACTTTTTTTCGTTCCCCTG